CAGGTCTCTGTGGTTCAGATGTGAGTGAGATAGCTTCGACTTTCCGCACTCCCCCCGCACTCCCCGCTATTTCGTCATTTATATTTCCTCAATGCAACAAAAACTAACAAAATATTCACCACAATAGGTCCACTACTGGCAACACGGCCGGATAGGGCCATATGTTGTGGAAAATCCTATAATCTTGGGTCACGAATCAACAGGAATCGTGGTAGAGAGCGGAAGCAGTGTTCAAGGCCTCGCCGTCGGAGATAGAGTCGCCCTCGAGCCCGGCATCGCCTGCAACACCTGCAATCATTGCCGCAACGGCCGCTACAACCTCTGTCGGGGGATGCGCTTTGCCGCGACACCACCTTACGACGGAACACTCGCGACCTACTACCGCGTGCCCGCAGAATGTTGTTTCAAGCTCCCAGCACACATCTCCCTGCGCGACGGTACCCTGATCGAACCTCTCAGCGTAGCTGTGCACAGCTGTCAACTGGCAGGTTTCATGCAGGATAAGTCAGTGGTTATTTTCGGAGCTGGGCCTGTCGGGTTGCTCTGCTGCGCCGTTGCGCGGGCCTTCGGTGCGTCAACGGTTGTCGCCGTGGATGTCGTCCCGGCTCGACTCGCTTCCGCGGTGAAATATGGTGCTACACACACATACCAAATGAGCGCCGAGACACCGGAAAAGAATGCGGTGAATTTGTTGGCGACTGCTGGTTTCCCTGATGGTGTTGATGTTGCCCTGGATGCAACTGGCGCCGAGCCCTGTCAGAACTGTGGTATTCATGCCCTCACGCAGGGCGGGACGTTCATTCAGGTCGGCTTGGGAAAACCGAACCCATCAATTCCAGTTGGTCAGATCTGCGACAAGGAGATCGTTTTCAAAGGAAGCTTCCGATACGGTCCTGGAGACTTTAAATTGGCCGTTGGATTGCTGAACTCGGGCCGAGTCAAGCTGGATGATCTCGTCACTCATGAATATCCTTTCAGTCAGGCTGAGGACGCTTTCAAAAATGTCGCCGGCCGAGGTGGAATTAAGAGTGTAATCTATGGCCCGAATGTCGATGAGGAGGAGGCAAAAGCAATTGCAGTATAGCGCATGCCTTTGTGACTGTTATATTAAATAGATCGCCCATTACCCTCCAGCTCCATTCCACGTCATGTCCCATAACCAATACAACCCGCCTTCGACACTATCCTGGTGAATGTTTTCCACTGGTTCCCGAGACAGACCAGGAATATTCCAATCGTATTCTGCTGGCAGTTGCCATGATTCGTGTGTCTGCATGCCTGGTTCAACAAAATCACCGGGTTGAAGGTTATCTCCACCAGCAGGAATGCCAGCAGAACGATCCCCTGGACCCAAGGCTGGAGAAATATATTTGGGTTAGCATGTTCATCATTTTAGCTAGCTGGTATGAATGATAATTCTCACCATATTGAACAGACGTTAAGCTATTATTCAGACGATCAGCCCTACTGAGGTCAGGCAGACGTTGGTCTCTAGCAAGAGGATTGCGAGAATCCCATGTCGCATCGAGCGGCATCCGAAGCGTGTCTTCGACAGAAATCAATGACGGATCTGCCAGGGTCTGTAAAGGCTGGGGACCCATTACTTGGCTTGTTCCGGTAATGGGGGCAAGCATGGCAGCTGATTCACGACGGAGGAGCATGATAACAACATTCTTCAACACAGCTGTGCTTTGTTTCGATAGTGCAGACCGTCTTCCGAGCAGATCTTGCAGACGAAGAATGCGAGTTATTGTTCGCTTCACTTCTTGCGCGGTATCAGAAAGAGGTTCTGACAGCGCTATCACAGCCAACACAATCGCGGCATTGAACAAGTTGATGGCAAGGAATGCGCAGAGATGGCTGTCGGTGGCGAGCTGGGCTAGAGCTGGCAGTTCTGTCACTCTTGATGTTCTTGTTGCGGCATTCATCCATAGATCAGGACTTGTGGTCTGGGTATTGGGAAATGCGGAGTCGGGGGATAAGTGCGACTGGGAAACAGAGGAAGTAGTGTTCGGATTATACATGATGTTATCTGTTCTGCTTCCCTCCGGTGATTGCTTATTCACAGTATAGAGATGATCAACCTGCCGTGCTAATAATGGCCGGTGCAGTACAATGAGAACATTGTCGTAAGTTAGTTGTAGCGACAGAGACTGCAGAGCGTATGCCCTCAAGCTTGGCCTATCATCGGGATCGAAGTCCCGATTAAGATCCAAAGCCAAATGGCTCGGTAGGCAGGATCGCCATTTTTGGAGGTTCTCAGTGACATGCCTGACTAGTGTGAAATATGTGTCACCGTTTAGTTGCTCGGACGTCCTGAAAGTACGTGAGCCGAAAACAGTCTTGAGGGCTGGTGATGCAATCAAGTAGAGCTGGTTCAACTCCCGCTGGTAGGTTGAATAACATATGGGGCTCGCCTGACCGGAGGCTGGAGCAACAAAATTCGGGTTCTCGAACACATCCGCTGGCATGTCAAGATTGCAATCCTTGTCGTTGATACCCAATGGCCGGCCATAGGTAATTGACGCGAATCTGTCCCATGTGTAAATCGTCCACCACACTCTTTTTCTTTCTTCGATGTTTTCGAAATCCCCCCGTTGAAGTCCCCGGTGCATCCCTAGAGACTGGGCCATCTTTATGGTTGCTCCTAATAATGAAAAGGAGAGATTTGGACGGCCGTGATAGACGTGATGCGACCCTAAAAGAATGCAGGTCTGGGCCGAGGTGACTGAAGGTTGGTCCATTAATTCCACTATATTTGACTCAACCAGCCCCAACAGATCTGCACTCAATTTCTTCATATCCTCGCTGTTGTCGGATAGATCAGCGCAACTCTTCTTGGATCGGTACCACGATGCCATTGCAAGCATCATGGCTAACAGCACGAGAAACGGTCGTTGCGAGGGATGTGCAGAACCATCTTCGATAGAAAGGAGGCTGTTCCTGAATTTTGGCTCGTAAACAGCGAGAGAAAACCAGTGTATGGCATCAAAGTAATCTTCCAATAGACTGTGTACAAGCTCCATAGGAGGGAACGGCTGGCGCAAGATGGAGGATATCGGGATGCGCTGGCCCGTTGCCGAATTTGCCATAGAGCTACCAGTGCTAGCCTGGTAGCCGGGTATAGCGGATGTGGTTTGTTCATCAATGTTATGGCTGCCAAGTTGACAGATCCTTCGAGCAATCCCTATGGCGGATTCGGCTTCACCGCAATTGAGGGACGAAGGCATATCCCCATCTCCAGCGGGGAAGTCAGCATCGTCGCCCCTAGGAAGCGCATCTATCAATCTACTCTGATTAGGGAGTATTTCACCGCGACTAGCGCCATTTTCATCCGGTGACTTTTCGGTAGGAGTCACCGGAGACAGATTAGATCGATGTCGGTCAGTTCGCGGGTTTCTTTTAGAACCCAGGCGCCTAATATTTCATGTAAGTAAAAGAACAGGTTCAAAGCATTCCGCTGTACATCTTACTTCGGCAGAGTGGCCCTCCGTGGTCGAGTCGTTGGAAGAGGTTGGCAATCAACATTGGCTCGGATACACACCGAGCAAGGTCTAACGGGATCACACTAGGTCCAAGTTGGATTTAGTATATGTCACTAGGTTCTGACCAGGATCAGGTGGCTCTACCCGAGATTTATGGCGACGACATCTTTCGCAGGCACTCCGGACTCTGGTTGGCAATGGCGACCGGACGTAACTGCTTCTATCGACAGGGTCAACAGTAAAACCCCCAGTCATTATTATGGGGTTATATTGAAGATCGTGAAATGTCGACAGAAATAAGATATCGGGACTAAAAACTCTCCATCCTCCAGTCTATTCCCATAGCCGACCCAGAGTGACTCGAGGCTAAACCCGTATTAGCTAAGCCACGTGGATAACCATCCATGGAACTTGGTTCTACCGAACCTCAGGAGGTCCAAGGTCATATTTCGTACGGATATAGTAGACTTCAGGGCTAAAGCATTTAAGCTTAGTGCAATTGAATTTTGATAAATTTATCATCAAAAGGAGGTTCTATAACGGCATATTAAGAAGATCAAAAAGAAAATTGACACAAAAAAAGAAAGAAGAGGTCCTGCCCGGGATCGAACCGGGATTGCTGGTATCAGAAACCAGAGTGATGACCATTACACTACAGAACCCAATTTGTTGAAGGAAGATTCCGTAATATGCTAAATGAAGCCAGGAAGAAAAAAATAATTACATTAACCTCTACTCCGTATACCGATCATCTATTAGTAGTAATCTTCTGATCTTGGATAGAAAACCTCTTATTCTGTATTTTTATTTTATTTTTATAAGAGATATCTCCTGTAATTTGGAAGTCAGAATATCTATTCCTATAAATCCACACACATTTCTCACATTATGGGTTATATTGGAGGTCACTAGCAGGTTTTTAGGATTTTCCTATTTGGGCTATACTCAGCTTTGTATTCTGTCAATGTGTTTATAATTTCTTTAATGCTCGGCCTCACAACAATCAGGTTCTGTAGTGTAATGGTCATCACTCTGGTTTCTGATACCAGCAATCCCGGTTCGATCCCGGGCAGGACCTCTTCTTTCTTTTTTTGCAATTTCTAATTTTTATCAATTACACATTTCTCTGGGTTTATGACATTCTAAATAAGCCAAGAAATAATTCGAATACTATTACAACCTAAATTCAGGTTAATTTTTGAACCACGATATAAACACCCTTTTTTGAAAGACCCAGCTAGAGCATTAGAGCCTAGACTGCGACATTACCTATAGGCCTTATATAAGCGGGCAATGCCTCCAGGGCTGCCATAGACATACCTACCTATAGATAGGCCCTGCCCTAAGGGCCTAGACTGCGACATCGCCCGTCCATGGGCCCCTAGGTAGGGGGTAATATAGTATTATATAGTATTGAAACCACCATGTAAAAAATAACCTTGCTATATCAGGACTAAATTATTACTAGTATTGATATGAGAGGGCAGAAATTATTGAAATTGACCTCTGTATGAGTTATTCGTCTAAAGAATATACTAGCTTCTTTCCTGATATTTTCTTCTCTCGAATATCGTCAATTCCCGTTAGTACTGCACGCAGCCCACCCTCTCGTGTAATGATCGGATGCGGCCGTATAAGCCCACAGTCTAGAAGTTTTCGTAAGGTAGCTGTCCATTTCGCTCCAAATGCCCCTAACTCGGCATCCGGTGCTCGCCAGTGAGGCTTCGGCCAAGGAATCTCTTTACCCAGTAGTTGTGGTCCCATGATCCAGTCAGGCTTCACGAGTTTACGCGTTTGAGCCACTGCTTCCGAGTATGGCTCGAGCGAGGTGTACTTGCCGCCAGAGCGACCGAGCGCGCGGTAGCAAAACTGCATGCTGGTGGCTGTAGATATGCAGTCGAGAGCGTATTTCAAGCTGCTTTTGGTATACTTGCGAATCGATTCAGTGCAGTCGGGAGCCTGGTAGTCAAAGACGGCAGACGGTCCGTAGGACTTGACGAGATCAAAGTTGTGAGGCGAGCATGTCGCAATGGCGTCAAAGCCGGCAAGGTTGAGCAGCTGGATGGCGGCTGTGCCCGTGGCAGACGAACCTCCAAATACCAAGACGGCAATCTTACGAGCTCCGGGCTCGAGCGGGTATCCTGGAACGTCGAGGCTCTTAAAGAGCGCGAGACCAGTCGTCATGAAGCTGATGCCGAGCGACGCTCCTTCTTCGAAGCTGAGGCTGGGTGGGATCTTGAGCAATATCCATTCGACCGCTGCTGTATAATTGGCGAAGGCACCGATGCCCGGGTCATTTGGGTTCATCCCCATGATGGCGGTACAGACGCGGTCGCCAACGTGTATGTCGCACTCTGTCGCCTCTGGTCCAACTTCCTCCACCACGCCGGCAAAGTCAAACCCGGCCACAGCGCCTTCTGTGACATAATCGCCAACCATTTTGGAATCGACTGGGTTGACGGAGACAGCTTTGATTTTGATGAGAACGCTGTTGCTTATTATCTTGGGTATAGGTGCAGTAGTCGACAGGCATATGGATCCGTCGGCGGTGCCGACGAGCGCTGTTTGGAATTCTGTCGACATGGCTATGGAGATTTCAGACTGCCTAGGTGGTAAATACACCCTGCAGGTCATACATGTGGCATGTCACTGTTTACTATAATATCTAACCCCATTCTCGATATATATGCTTGGGCGGGTTGTACTGGTTGGCTTCCCGATAAGGCTGCCAAGTTGTTACACCGAATATCTCCGGTTATGCATCAAGGTCGGCAATGGGTGGGTCTCTCCGGCTTACCTGCATATTGCTGCATACGCCGAATACAAAATTAAGCCTCAGGTAAGGCTGCCAAGCCGTTGCACCGAACATTTGCGGTTATGCATCAAGGTCGGCAATGGGTGGGCCTCTCCGGCTTACCTGCATGTTGTTGCTTAAACGAATATGAAATTAAGCCTCGTTCCTACGCAGCATGGTACGATCGCTGTCGTTACGACTTGATCGCTGTGGTAAAGGCTTCTATGCTATTTCTACCCCTGGAAGCTTTAAGAACCCATGAAAGATATATGACAGAAATCTGTCTGTATTGAATTACATATGTAAAATGGCATATATGAAGAACTCTAACTAACTTAAACGACAAAACCCGCTATTTCAACAATCTGAGCGGTAACGACGACTAACTATATTATGCACTTTTGTATGGTATGCCTGGTACTCGAAGTCATATGATGCTTGTGGTGTAATACCCCGTTTCAACCATGTATTCCGACTTAGTATTTGACAATATACTTCAATCAAGTATTGGGGGCCGTTTGGCTAGTAGTAAGCAACCGTTAACTTCAAGGCAGATTGTATTTTTTTGCAGGACAAGCAATTGATGTACTGGATATTATGAATAGGGCCAATAGAATCAGTTGATTGATTCTCATATTAATGTCGAATAGATTGTGTCTGTGTTTAAATTGAGTCGGTTTGGCAATTGAAGTAACTTCGATCATAATAAAGCGATATTTGTATGCCAAATCTTTTAATAGACATAATATCAGCTGCGAAACAAATCGGAAACTTAGATACGGCATAAGCCTTTGATTGATAATTGAAGGATAAGGTATAATAAGTTTTTATGTCACTCAGAATTGTCTAGTGTGGAGCAACAAATGAAAGATTTTGAAACCTGACCTTTTACTGCACACCATGTTCACTTCTGTCAAGCAGATCAAAGTTTCCTTCAGGAAGGCTTTCATGTCCAATATCGCCTTTCTATAACAGGGATCTGGTTGCTACTGCATGTCGCTAGTGTTTATCAACTGATGGGTACCCAAATTTATTATACCAGATTGTTTTCTTATCTTTTGGCCATAGTTATACGTGCATAGGTACGAACAAGCTTTACTAAGGTGTGTACCTTTTTTGCGTAACGGTAAAAATACGTGGACTTTCGGCACATTCTTTGAGTTAACATTTTTTTCTCGTTTTAACCTTGGAATAACATACTTTCTTGTACGATAGTTGCTAGAAAATGGCCGACCCCCTTGTCTGGCCGGCTCGCTTATCCACTACGTTATTGGTAATATTTACTGTTAATATTTTAGTTATATTTGAATATGAAATGCGCGAAATGAATGCTACGGGATCATAGCTGACACTGGCCACCAGTTCCAATGCCTGTAAAGGCTTCCCCATCCAGGCCACCAACCACTCTCTCAATAAAACCCGTATTGCCCGTGGCATTTGGTCCAGGAGAGCTTGTTGGAATATTCCAAACTATCCTATCATGAGTAACCTGAAACTTCCACCTCTTACCGATCTCTTGATCAATGAATACCACAGAGTATCCGGTGTTCTGGTCCACAAACCTGCCTCGAACACTTTCATCATCTTGGCTATTGTGCACCTTCGTCAACACGAGGGAGTGCTTCTGAGATGTCTGTGCAGATTCTTCAATGACATCTTGTGCAGCACAAATCAATTTCCCTTCGTGATATAGTCGTGACATTGTATAAGGCTGGTTTCCACTGGCCATGTCCGAGAAAATGCGCATGATTTGGATGGCGTATGGGCCGACATGCGTTCTCAGGTAGTATGACTCCGTCATAATCTGCGGCCAAGTTCCTAATGACCAGACGCGATCAACACCTCCGTTGACGGGTTGGTCTCGCGTCCCCAGTTGCAACGTGCCAGCTTCGCTAGCCGCATCATCGAAAAGGCGCATCTCAGCGGTAACAGAAGCACGCCCAATAGGCCGCACATAATGCACCGACGGACCCAGAGTAGGATCAGAGTCCAGCCCAGTGTCCCCAGGTAACGCCTGTAGCTGCATCTTTCCGTCAACAATGCCCGGGACATCAAATATCAAAGAAATATTCCGGTCGCCGTCTGAAGACACAAAGCTGACGCTCGCAGCTTTGGCAGTGTCACGCCATACACCGCGAGTCTCTGAAGATGTCGTCTCAAAAATGGACTCTGGAAAATACAAGTCGCGATGCCATGTTGTTGAGTCGGGCCAGATAGCCGTGACCTGCACCTTGAAGCCATCCCCGGTCCCATCTTGCGCGGTTCTGTTCAGACCGACGATGACGGCGGCGCGCTGTTCGGGAGAAACGCAATCAAAAAACCACAGTTCCCAGCCATCCTTGCTAATTGATTTTTCAAACTTGGGAAAGATGTTGGCAGACGCTGGGATGTGGGCGGCTGGCGAGACAGGGCCCTTTGCGACAGAGGCTCCGTCATTTGTAAAGTGCAATATGTTGCTCGCCATGTTGAAGCGGTCTGTGACTGTAGCTAGAAGCTCGGAATTGCTGATCTGTAAATTTGGTTAGTGGCATGACTTGTCAGGAGTATACATATGCCATTCTGTGTGCGTCTTGGCCCGTCGGGGGTCTTTCGGCGTGGGCCCCGAACGCCGTCGGCTGCCGGGTCCGAATGCATCGGCTCCCGTGGAGGGCGCAAAGACATAATACCTAGATACGGTAATGCTGGAGCACAAATGCAGACGCCTGTGGACTATATATACTGCAAAGCACAAATAGCAGTACCAATACGGCTTTTCATCAATCGAGTTATCCCTCTTCCAAGGTTGTATCTTTAGTCTCAACGCTTTAGGACATCTCCAACTCAACGTCCACCAGACACCCAACGTGTCAACCTCTTATGATGGACATAAACGAACCAATTGCCGTAATTGGCAGCGCCTGCCGATTTCCCGGTGAAGCAGACACACCCTCAAAGCTATGGGATATTCTCAAGTCTCCCCGTGACTTGCTGCGATCAGTTCCCCAGGAGCGCTATGATGCTGACGCATTCTATCACCCCGATCCCATGCACCATGGAACTACCAACGTCCGCCAGTCGTACTTTCTCGACGAGAATGTCGGCTCCTTTGATAATGGCTTCTTTAGTATTCAACCAGGAGAGGCAGAAGCTATTGACCCCCAGCAGAGAATCTTGATGGAAACTGTTTACGATTCACTATGCGCTGCTGGACAGAAAATCGAAGACCTTCGCGGTTCTCCCACATCGGTTTATGTCGGCCTCATGTGCGACGACTGGAGCGGTGTCATTGCCAAAGATTTAGATGTGTTTCCTCAGTATGGTGCTACTGGGATGGCCCGCAGCATCATGGCCAACCGCATCTCTTACTTCTTCGACTGGCATGGCCCATCCATGACCATCGATACGGCATGCTCCTCTAGTCTTGTCGCTGTGCACCAGGCTATTCAGTCTCTTCGAAGTGGTGACTCGCAAGTCGCGGTCGCGGCTGGAGCCAACCTTATTTTGACGCCAGGTAAGAAAAATGATATATCTTGTGACGATAGATACATACTAAACCGCACATTTTAAAGATATGTACATTGCAGAAAGCAAATTATCTATGCTTTCTCCTACCGGAAGATCGCGCATGTGGGATAAAGATGTTGATGGCTATGCCCGCGGTGAGGGCATTGCTGCCGTCGTGCTCAAGCCTCTCAGCCTTGCCTTGCGGGAAAACGACAAAATCGAGTGTCTGATTCGAAACACGGGAGTGAACCAAGATGGTCGCACCCAAGGTATTACCATGCCTAGCGCAGCCGCTCAGGCAGACCTCATCCGAAGCACGTACGCCAAGGCCGGACTTGACCTTGACGATCCGGCATGCCGACCACAGTTCTTCCACGCCCACGGTACCGGTACCGCTGCGGGTGACCCTCAAGAGGCCGAAGCCATCTGGCGAGCATTTTACGAGAATAGAAATGTCCAGGATAAGCTCTACGTTGCCTCCATCAAGACCATAATCGGCCATACCGAGGGAGCAGCCGGCCTGGCCAGTCTGATTGGCACGTCTCTTGCACTTCACCACGGTGTCATCCCTCCCAATATGCACTTTAATACATTGAACCCGCGTCTGGCCCCCTTTTACAACAATCTCGAAGTTCCAACGCAGGCCAAGCTGTGGCCGGAAACATTCCCAGGCCAGCCTAAGCGTGCCAGCATCAACAGCTTTGGTAAGATGCGGCTGCTATGGTCTCTTTACTGTAATCTTGGACTAATATTTTGCTTATCCAGGCTTTGGTGGAACCAACGCCCATGCCATTCTCGAGTCTTATAAACCATACGTGCCGTCGGTCGTAGCAGGTCCGGTATTTTCGCCTTTGACGTTTTCTGCCTCGTCTGAACAATCGCTACGTGCTCTTCTCGCAGAATTCTCGACCTATCTATCCTCGCATCCCAAAGTTTCTCTACATGATCTCGCCTACTCTCTGCAGCAGCGAACCTCGACCCTTGCGCACAGAGTGGCCATTTCTGCCGTTTCTGCCGACGACGCGAGGCCACAGATTGATGCCATTTTGCAGGGAGAAAGAGATTCCGCGCTTGGCACCAAGCATCTCGTCAAGAAAAATGCCCGGATCCTCGGTGTTTTTACAGGCCAAGGTTCGCAGTGGGCTAGAATGGGCGCTAGGCTGCTCGAGGAGTCTCCCTTTTGCGCCAAACGCATGGATGAGTTGCAGACTATTCTCAGTAATCTCTCTGCCGAACAGCGCCCCTCATGGACGCTGAGAGAAATGATTATCGCTCCAGAAGGTGCCTCTCGCGTGGCAGAGGCCGCCATATCGCAGCCAATCTGCACTGCGATACAAATAATCTTGGTTGATCTTCTTCACGCGGCAGCCATTTCTTTCCACTCTGTCGTTGGTCATTCTTCCGGTATGTAAAGCTCTACATTGCTTGCGTCACTTGAATAATATGGTTAACATATTGACTAGGTGAAATTGGCGCTGCGTATGCTGCTGGATTGGTGTCTGACAAAGATGCCATCAGGATTGCGTATTTCCGTGGTCTTTATGCCAAGTTGGCTTCCTCGCCAAATGGTAAACCTGGAGCTAGTGAGTAATTTTATTGAAACATGTTGAATACGGTACTGATCAGTCCCTAGTGATGGCCGTTGGTTCAACCCTCGAAGATGTCTCTCAGCTTTGTGAACTGGAAGATTTTAACGGGCGAATCCAAATCGCCGCTCAAAACTCGCCGTCTAGCTTCACGCTTTCTGGAGATGAGGATGCCATCGCTGAAGCTATAGAAGTCTTCAAGGAGGAAGGCAAGTTTGCCCGCCAACTCAAGGTGGACACGGCATATCACTCGTCTCATGTTATTCCTTGCGCTGTGCCCTACCTTGCGGCGATGCAGCAGTGCACGCCTGAAATTTCGGAGCCAACGGGCACCAAATGGTACTCGAGTGTGCTTCAAGGAGAGGTAATGTCGTCCAAGAAGCTCTCTTGGCAGTACTGGGTCGACAACATGACGCAACCTGTCTTGTTTGCCCCAGCCGTTCAGTATGCATGGGCAGACGGTGCGTTTGATCTCGTGCTTGAAGTTGGCCCACATCCAGTTCTCAAAACACCGTGTCTGGACAGCATTGAAGAGACTGCAGGCCACCGCCCACCATACAGTGGCGTTTTGGCTCGCACAAAGGACGATATTCAGGAGTTCTCCAACAGTCTCGGGTTCATTTGGACACAGCTTGGCCCCAACTCAGTCGACTTTGACGCTTTTGAAAAGGTTATCTCTCAATCCTCCGTTGCAAGGCGCCTCGTGCCTGATCTACCCAAGTATTGCTTTGATCACAACAAGACTTTCATGTCTTTTTCCAGACGATCCGGCGTTCATAACAGCCTCACAGCACCCCCTCACCCGCTGCTTGGCAAGCGCTGCTTTGACAGAGAAGGACAGCACAGCGTCCAGTGGCGCAACGTTCTCCGGCCAAAGGAGCTGTCCTGGCTACACGGGCACCAGATCCAGGGCCAGATTGTCTTCCCTGCGACTGGATACATTTCCATGGCCGTCGAAGCTGTTGCTATTCTTGCTAAAGATGCAAAGATTTCCTTGGTATCCATTGAAAACCTGCAAATCGGCCGAGCCATGGCATTCAAGGATGATGACGCGAGCATGGAGATTACGTTTGACTTGAACATTAAGGCGCAAAGTGATGATTATATTGAGGCATACTTCTCATGCAGCTCGGGTTCTCCACACGACCATAAGACTGTCTTGGCTTTGAACGCCAGCGGTGTGATTCGAGCGACGCTTGGTGCGCAAGCTTATGACACACTCCCCAAAATCGAGGCTCAGACTCACAACATGAGCGACGTCACCATTGATCGATTTTACACGTTCTTAAGCTCGCTTGGCTACCACTACTCCTGGCCATTCTGTGGCACTGCTAAAATTCAGCGCAAGGCTGGCTATGCTACCGGAATCGTGGAAGATGCTTCTGCATCTAAATGGGAAGACGAGCTCAATGTTCACCCAGGCATGCTTGATTCAGCTCTGCAAACCACCTTTGCCGCTTTTTCATGCCCTGGAGATGAGAGGATGTGGGCGCTGCACGTGCCGACCAACTTTAGATCCATTGTCATCAATCCCCATTACACGCCGCTAGGTGCTGGCAAGCAGAAGCAGTTTGATTTTATTTCCGTCGCCCATAATTACTCCAAGGGTAAGGTTATTACGGAGCTTAATCTCTTGGCACAGGATTCCGGTCACACTGCTATTCAAATCGAGGGCATGCAGCTCACGCCGTTGATGCCAGCTTTGCCTGAGAATGATGCGGTGCTCTTCTCCCGCTTCGACTACAAGATGGCACTACCGGATGGCGATGCTGTGGCAGCAAAGCACGAATTCAAGGCGGAAGATCTGACCACTGCCATGGACTCCGAGCGCATCTCGTTCTACTACTTGCGTCACCTCGTCGACACCATTACCGCGCAAGAAAAGGCTGACACCTTGTGGCATTATCGCCATCTGCTCGACTGGGCCGCATTTGTGGTTCCTCAAGTATTAAACGGCTCCAATGCACATATCCCAGCCTCTGCCAAACATGATACGCAGGCAGATATTGACAAGCTGCTTCAAAAGTCGGTGATTCCCCTCCACTACTGACATCATTTCTGCTGACAAAATACACAGGCACTACCACCGAACAGATGTTCGTCTTCTGGAGTCTGTGGGCACCAACCTTCCCCAATGTATTCGCGACAAGTCCAATATTCTGGAACACATGGTCAAGGATGGCATGCTCGATGACGTGTACGAGGAGGGTTTTGGATTGAATCTTGTCAACGAGTACATTGCGGATATGGCTGCGCAGATTTCCCACAGATACCCGCGAATGAATATTCTAGAAATTGGTAAGAATATTATCTGTCTATGGATTTGTAGAGCGGAACTAACTTTACCACAGGTGCCGGCACTGGTGGCTCGACAAGAATGGTTCTGCCGAGGCTT